AGATATCCCTTTTAATCATCATCTCGTATTTTTCTTTCTCTCTACTCTCTTTGTTCAGAGGCTGTGAGAGGCATCCCAGTACCTAGTGGGATGAATGGAAGTGGTGTTGGTGGCATGGTTCCCACCAGCCTCAGCGGGCAGCAGCTGGCCTCTGCCATCCCTTCCCCCACAGCTGGCAAGTCCTGGCGCAGCAAGTCCATGAATCTTAAGCACAGCGCAACTTCATCCATGCTGGCAAGCCCTACACACTCCCCTTCTACCACCCCATCACCGCAAGCCCCAGAAGGGGATGGGTCAAAAGTAGGGTCAAGTGTTGCACTGCCTCAGAGGTCAATGCTGGAGAAATTTCGGCTGATTAATCCCCGATCGGCTTCAAGAGCATCGCCATCTGTGGTGGAGATGGCTTTGCAGGAGGAAGATGACCTATCAGAGTATGGTGAAGATGGATTGACGCCTACAGGGTCAGTGTGCAGCAGTGTTAGTAGCAGTGGTACGGCCAAACAAATGGCTACAAAGACCCCTGCGTCGTCCCTCACCGCACCAAGCAAAACGTCCTCATCTTCACCCTCTTCTTATTCAAAGGCGTCCGCCAGTGGTAGCAGGTCTCAAGCCTCCTCCAAAGACAAGGAGGACAAGAGCAAGTCTGGGAAGTCCTGTAAGGACAGCTCTCCCCCAAAAGAGGAGCGCGACACATTTCCCGAGTCCACGAAGAAGACCTCAAAAATCGCCAGCCTCATCCCAAAAGGAGGGAAGTCATCGTCGGGGAAGAAAGATGGTGGCACCCCCTCAGCTTCAAGCGGCATCCCAAAGCCAGGACTTAAAGGTCCCTTGGCATCATCAGCAAAGCCGCAAAGTCAGTCCCAGGCCCAAAACCAGGCCGCCTTAAACAGCAGCGGAAATATACGGGGGGGAGAGGGAGAGAGAGCCAAGCTAACCAAAGGGGGGCAGAGTGGGAGTTTCTATATCCAACGCTCCGTAGGGGGCTCGGAGGGCAAACGGACCAGCATGACCTCGTCCACCAGCACCTCAGCCCTGTCTGCGTCCACTGTGGGAGGAAGTGGGGGAGGAACACCAGGAGGAAATGGAGTAGTTCAGCTTCCCCAGCAGCAGCAGCACAACCATCCTAACACAGCTACTGTGGCCCCCTTCATGTACAGGTGAGGCGTGTGTGTTTATTTGTCCTATCATCGCTCAGAGGACACCCAGAGAGAGCAACCTGTTGACCCGTTTTTTGCCTGCACACGTTCACACATGCTTACAGTCATTCACACACCCCATGAGATCTTGGAGTCCTCCCAGTGATCAGCTGGAGCCTCCCCACTGTGCGTCTTGCTCTCGCCTCCACATCCCTTCACAGGCATCACTGAACAAATTAACATCCACTCCCTGCTGCTTGCCAAAGCCTATTATTTAACTGTCTGGGTCTCATCTTTGATGTGAGCATCCAGACATTGGCAGTGTTCAAGAACTCATTCCCCTTCTCTTCATTCAGCCGGTGTTGTTAGAGGCATGCATCTGGCACATGGTTTCATGATGTTACAGCAATCTGAGGTGCAGGAAGTGGGTAAATCCCAAAGAAAAAAAATAGCGGAGCCGCCAAAGTCTCTGGGATGGCTTTGTGTTAGGAGAGAAAGGGAGTTAGGAATCCCATTAAACAAGACTAAATCCTTCACCCTTTCTCTCTCTCTGAACTACTTCCTCTGCAGCGCACAGTCAGCTCTGCCACATTCAGCAGTGCCTCTTTCGAGCATTAGCATTCCTTTAATCCCACACATTTAGTGAGCTTCTGCGGCTATCAGTCCTGAGGAGATAATGAGTGATAGTCAGCTCTGAAGCAGGGAAGTAAAACTTAAAGTGTGAAAACACAGGCAGCCTACTCAGTGAGCAAAGAGTAAACAGAAGCATGGAGTGTAGTAGAAGAGGATGGACCATCTGTGATGTTACCCAGAGTTTTCTGAGAGAACATTTTAAAGCTTGGACTTCTACTCACTGTTTCTTGCCATCTTGGTCAGTAATTGGAACTAGAAAGTTCAAATTTGGCATCCGGCGCAGCTGCTCCTATATATATCTCTTAGCTGTTAAGAAAGTCTCATTTTTTTGGTGGGGGGGGACCACTAACTTTGCAACAAGTGAATCATATCTGTTATTAATCTCTGGCTCTCTTCCACAGCATGTCTTTTGTCCTGTCTTCCTTCTCTCACCCCAACCGGTCACGGCAGATGGCCACCCCTCACTGAGCCTGGTTCTTCCTGTTAAAAGGGAGTTTTCCTTCCCACTGTTGCCAAAGTGCTTGCTCATAGGGGTCATGTTATGTTTTTCTCTGTATGTATTATTGTAGGGTCTCCCTTACAATATAAAGTGCCTTGAGGCGACTGTTGTTGTGATTTGGCGCTGTATAAATAACATTGAATTGAATTGAATCTGGAGGATACAGGAGAGATACATTGGAGTGTTTTAATTTGTTTATCATTAGAAACAACAGACATGCAGAGTTAATGGGTTGTCAGAACATCTGTGGTGTTAACGCTGGCCCCCTCCAAAAGTGTTACAGTGAAAGTCACCTGTGCTTTTTTACATAATAGTAGGTATGAAATTGTAGGCCATCCATCCATCCGTCCATCCGTCCATTTTCTTCTGCTTATCCAGCTCTTCTTGTAGAGGGCAAGAGACGGCGTACACCCTGGAGAATGCTCAATGCCACACTGCCGTGCTGTCCCATCTTTTACACATATTACGTAATAATGTGTCTCAGACTTTACTCGGTGGTGAATAAAATTCCCGAGGAACAGTTCACATGCAGATCTTAACCTTTTTGCTGTGTTCTAAGATATATCCTTCCGTTCATATATCTGCGGCTTCCATCTTCATGTTCTTCCTCATCCAAAGCCGTCACCATGCATAAAGGCTGCCAGCATTTTTGCCACAGTTAGGCATCCTTGTCTCATTTGGATTCTTTCTCTCTGCCCACTTAAAGTTGTTGTATCTTCCAAGCTTAACAGACCACTTTTGTATGCAGAAATAATTTTTTTCCCCATTCTCTTCCTCATGCACTCACAGTTGCACCACAGAGAAATGTAGTTTGCAATGCCCGTTCTCATGCTATGCTTCCATAACCCAGGTTGACCGGACAATTTTTACAGGGAGTGATTAAAAATACTAAAATTGCTGGTGCAGTTAATATTTTCTGCAGCTTCAATCACATTTCTTTACATGACCAGCAGTAAACCTTCTTTTTTAAAGCAGCAGAGTCAAATATCTTATTACTGCAACCCCCCCATATCTATTCTCTTATTTTTGGGTGATACCGTGCCATACAGCAATGGTGAATATCTGTGTCTCCGTCTTTGTGAATCCACTGAGGTGAGGGAAGCTTGCAGGAGGAAGAAAAGCTTTTTCACATGAACTGAAGTCACAGGCGAATGCTGTTGTCACAATTGGAAGCCAATTTTTATCTGCAGCTCTGCAGGTGGTGGTCGTCCCTGGTGTGTGTCTGCGCGCGTGGAAGAAATGCATGGCGTTCAGTAGCTTGTGCTTAGTTCTCTGCCTGCCTGTTTCTTGTTTTCTCAGTTTGTAATGCAGTTTTACTGTGTGCATTTCGGGATTTTGTGTGTGGTCTAAAGTGTTAGTTTGTATGTGTTTCGCTGTTTGTGTGTTCCTGCGTGAGAGGACTTTCTGTTGGGTTTGTGTGTCAGCTGTATAACTGTGTCGTTCTGTGCCTTTAGTCTGTTTTTGCATGGTTTTGTGGCACTTTCATTGTTCAAAGTTTGTATGTACGTGTAAGACTGTTATCTTATGAGGAGCGTTGGACTCCACCTTTGTTTCTTTAGATCGGCAAACAAGGGAGAGGAAGCACACAGCAAATGTAGTTAAATCCATCCCTCCATGACTGCAGTGCCTTTAATTCAGGTTAGACTGAAATCTCTGATAAACCTATCTTCTTAACTGCTGTGTGTTATTTGTTCTTTGTGCCTTTAGGACATTCTCAGAAAATGACTGCACCATGGTGGCCCCAGCCGACCCCTGCCTCAGCCCCACCAAGGGAGAGCTAGTCTACAGCAAGACAGCCAAACAGTGCCTGGAGGAGATATCAGGTATGCACCAGGTCACCACACATGTGGGCTCCGCTTGGAGGATATTTCTCAGTGTGGGTGTGAGAATGTGCATAAGTATCTGTGCATTATGATCTGTCCCTGTAGATAAATAGCAGTGGTCTGCTACATGCTAAAGGAACTGATTTAAAATGACGTTTTCCTTCATTAAACAATTGGAACAAAATGTGTTCGCTTAGGTAGAGACTCTTGTTACAATATGGATTAGCTGTCCACAGTGATGTTTGTCAGAGACGAGGTTAATGGAGTATATGTGGAAAAGTAGCTGCAGGAGAGCCTTTTGAAAGCTGCTGCTGTGGCCAACTCAGTGTACTGGTATTATGCAGCTGGTGTGTGAATGTGCTAAAGTGAGTCTGTTTGTACTTACTGGGAGGATTCCTGTTCTGGGCTGGTTTCATGTAGGGAAAGGAAAAGGTCAGCAGTGACAGCTGGACACGGGGAGCATCTGCAGCTATGTTTACTTCGCTGCAGGCTGCCACCAGCTGATATAATCCCATTGCTGCACCATCACCAGTCACCATGATACATACATGTACATGGTTTATCTCCAGTCTCAGAGTATTTATCAAAAACGTTGACAAGATCGGTATGGCTGTATGTAAAGCTTCACACACAACACATATACACACATAAAGTGTAGCTGTAGGTTGTCTTCATTGTGGAGTTACAGTACTGTGGCGTTTTTCTGCATCTCAGAGTTCAGGACTGAGGGACATTTGACCACTTAAAGGAGTTTCTAACCACAAAAGCCCAGACAGAAGAAGCAGGCACCAGACCATCAAAATACAAACTGCTGGCACAGACAAATCTCTTTGTTTCAGTTGCATTTTACCAGTTCCAAATGAAGAGGTCACTGTGACAGCTCTTTCATCCATTTTAGCTCTTTGATCTGTCTTCAGTTCAGTGGTTACATCTGTGGTAGATGTGTCCTCTCTCCTTTTCCTTTAGCGTCATAATCTTTTCATCACTGATTTTATCGCAGAGGATCCTTTGAGACTTTTTGGGTTTTCCATTTTAGAACAGGTCACTTGATTCAGATGGTGATGTCTTCATTTAAAATCCAACTTCTTAATTCAGACGTCAAGTTCAAAGCGAAGCCAGAAGACCAGCATACACAAACAACAGCATGTGATTATAGGTTTGGGGATGCAGCAACATTCCAGACATTTTGCTTTGGTCGCGGCTTTTCCAAAGCCCGTGATTTCAAGGATAAAATTAGACTGCGGTGCTGACCGTTCTCTTTGTTTGAGGTCCATTGCAAACACTTGCTTTTTAATGTCACACGCTTCATGGTCATTGCAGTCTTCATTCTTCCTGCTCTTCAGTAGAGAGACAGGAATGAGTCTCTGAGAGGGAAATTCAAGTGTATGCGTACCACAAATGCCACATGACAAGACTTCTCATATACATTTACATATACACACTGAAGCAGTGTCAGTAAGACCAGTTTTAAAACATCAAAGCAGCACTCTATATAAACTCTTCATTCATACGTTGAGTTAAGCTCGAGCTTAAAAGTGTCACAGTTTATTTGTCTTCATCCGTTCATCTTTTATTCATGATAAAACATCAGTTTGCGATGAAGTATGAAGTAGGATCACCTTGATTATGTTTTCTGAGGCAACTGCTTCCAGGGTCCTCCAGCAGTTAGTAGTCACAATTAGAGAAGGCTGTGGTAGACAGCTGTGACTAATAGAGACAGTGCTAATAATGCTCCCAGTGATTGATGGGAATATGTTGGCTCGGTGGTCTCATTGTTGATTCGCGATAAGCTGCGGGCTTGCTGCTTTAGCTCCTCAAGATAGCATTTAATTAAGTTTGGGTGGTCAGAGTGGTGCAGCGGGGGCTGCGAGCTTACAGGTGCACTGTCCAAGCAACTCATTGTCACGCTGTGAGGGAGAGAGATGGAGAGACACTGAGAACGAGGGGGGAGGGAGGCATACAGGAAGAGCTAGTAAGAGCAGAACAGAAAGAGAGAGATTAGGTGAAAGAGAGGGTGATAAACACAGAGGGGGGAGAGAATGTGAGAAAGGAGAGGGAGTGAGTGAGAGAGAGAGAGAGAGATGCAGGCGCTACGAGAGCTATGTGAGCCCATTTGCCGGCTTCACCACCGTTCACTCTCCGCTGTGAGGAGAGAGGAACCGTCACAGAGGAGGCAGGAGGAGCGTGGCTGTCAGGTGGTAATTAAAGGAGAGACAGAAGGTAGGGGGAGATAGATAAGAGTGAATGAAAAGACACTGCCATTTAATAGGGGGAAAAGATAAAGAGAGCGCAAGAGGAAGAGAGAACGTGTGAGGAGCGAGAGATGTAGCGAGTCGTTCATCCACGCCCCTGACTGTGGTGAAGCAGGAGAAAGGAGCCAAGAAGACAGAGAGACAGCATGCGGACAGGGAAGGAGTGGAAGAAATGAATGTTTGTGTCTGGCTCGGCGTCTGACCGTGACTATGGGCTGGCTTAATGATGGATCTGGATTTTACCTACATGCCTGAGAAGGTGGTTTTCTCTCCACTCCACTCCCTCTGCTCGCTTTCCCTCCAGCCCACTGAAGCCTGGACATCAGTCGGGAGACGCAGGACCTGGGGCTCCATCTCTTATGCTTCCTCTGTTTTCTTTGCGCTCCTTGCTTCCATCTGCTTTCTCAGTTTTAGTGCAGTCAAGATGTGAAACAGAGTGCCATGCACAGGTAGATCCACTTGCATGTATAGTTTCAGTCACTGAGCTGCCAGCGGTAAAGAGGTTAGTTGAAAAGGGGAGAGGATGAAGAGAGGAGCGGAGTTCTCGGTTTATCAGGGCGGCAGCCCAGCTCGACGGCCTCCGCAGCCTCTCCCTGACAACCTCAACCTGCGGATCAAGCAGCGCTCGCTTACTAACCTGACCCTGCTCAGTGATGGCGAGCAGCAGGTTTACACCTTTGAGCTCGGCGAGCTGCCGCCGTCTCGCCTTTCCCAACCTCAAAACTCTTCATTGTACTCATCTTCCACACAACGGGCAGGAGGCAGTCTGCAGGGAAGCCCCAGGAAGGATGTGGTAACAAGAGGCGGAGGTGTAAGGGGCACCAGAGCTCGATCTCTGTCGCTCTCCCTCACTAAAGTGCTCTCTCAGTCAGAGCATTCTCTCATTCCAGTCCCTTGGCGATGCACAGCAGCAGGAGGGCGGCCACAGCGGGCATCGTACAGTGGCCACCCGAGGATTGAGGCGCAGCGGAGGTCCAGAGAGGTGGCAGGAGCAGATGAAGAGGTCAGCAGGTGGCGGTCCGATGAGGAGGTGGCAGCAGCAGACAAGGGAGGCGGGAAACAGGGAGGCAGGGAGAAAGATGGCGGATTTTGGGCGGAGGAGGAGGTTTCTGAGGGAGGTCCTCGTGAAGGAACAGCTCAGCTTGATAAGGAGGTGATCCTCACCATGCTGGGTGACCTGGAGCAGGTGCTGCACGCACAGCCTCGCCCACGTAAGTGAGCATTCATTCTCATATAAAGCCTAGAAACGTCTGTTGTTTTTTAATTACATATTACACACGTGATCACACACGTCAATCAGCAGCTTTAAAAAACTATTTCTATTCATTTAAAATCTTGCTTTTTAAAGAAACAAACTGAGAAGCAAAGTAGCTCTGATAGGATGGTTATTTTCAGAACCTTCATGATGAGTCAAGCTGTCCTTCTCTGAATAGATGGCATTTTAACCCTTTAAAACCGGTCGGAGCGGGCACGCTTCGTTTTGCGTAACTATTTTTAAATCCCTGTAGAACCGTAACCACGTGAGCTAGCGCAATAATTTTTTTGCATATGAAGCCGGAGGAGTTGTACTTGCATCTTATGCCATCAGCTTGTCCTAAGTCACAGTTTCCTTCCACATATAGCTTTGCAAAAACTGCACAAAAAGCACTTGCGGCAACAAAAACATAATATTCCAGAAACACGCTTTGCCGATCCGATCAGCTGTTTGTAACACTCAGAAATAGTTTATTTTGATGCATATGCTGTTTTTTTTGCAAATTTGCATTATAGTATTTATTTTCGTTTTTCCTGCAGTGTATAAAAATGAGTTATCTCAATAATAAAGCTATGATGAGTGTTGTTGGAAACTGTTTTGTGCAACCTTTTTGTATTTACAGTTTTGAGGGATAAGCCTCTTGCATTTCTCTAACTAGAAATATATGTAAAAAAAACAAAAACGGATTTCAATTTTGTTATTGTTTGTTGCACTTTATGCACTTTTTGTAGTTATTATTGACTTAATGCATACATATCATTAAAATTTGGGCTATAACGGTTGTATTGATGTATAGCAACTTGAAATGCTCCCATAAATGGCACTACAGCATGTAAAAATGTAAAGACAAGCTCTGGCGGACTTGGTTCTATGGTAGGTCTTAAAGGGTTACGGCATTGTTTTGCAAGAACATGCTCTAGAAGAACACTTTGCTTCCTGTAGTCCATACCTTTACACTCACAGATATGTTGCATTCTCACCTAAAAGGTCTGCACAGCAGCAGTAGTTTATTTCCTAGATATTACACATCCTATTTTTCACCTGCATTCACTCTGTCACAGTCTGCAAATGAGGCACTTTGTTGAGCATGCAGCTTTAAGTGGTTTAATGTAAATCTCAGCTGATGGAGTCTAACCTGGTACTGTGCTATACCTTGGCACCAGCTCTGTTAATATATGTCAAATTTTCCAGTGTACGCACCATCTGCCATCCTCCCATGTGGAACGATCACCCGTGCACAAACCTGGCTTTAACGTGAGAGAAACACAGGAGTCATTAAGAAGGATTTTTGACAATTATTGTGATAAATCAAAGTGAAATGTGAAACAAAGCACAGTTAGCATGGGTAGATTTGGCTGATATCCTTTGAGCATGTTGAAGCATGATGCAGCAATAAACAGAAATACCTTGAGATAGAGCTAAAGCGAAATCAACACCTCCTCCACGGCTTCTATTACTTGCACCGCCCTCACAGCCTGTGAATCACACAGCCA